TGGTAGGCGCCTGCCGGCAGGGAAAGCTGACAGGTTTTGGGGTGGGTTTATTTTTCAGCATCCAAACACAGGATGCCAGGGGTTCAGAAGGGACAGCTGGGGCACCTAAGACTCCCCTTCTGCCACCCTGTCCCCCTTGGGAATGCCACCCCTGTGCAGGTGACATGCAGCCCCTGGCCCAGCTCTCCCTCTCTCGGCTGGGAGTGCGGAAGGAGCAAAGTCAAAGTCACACCGGCTGCAGAAAAGGGGAAGCTCGTAGAGGAAGCTTCAAGGGATGGCGCATGTCCCTTGTCTCCTCTCCAGGCAGGGAGTGCCACTGAGATGGATGAGTGCCTGGCTCGCCTCGACCCAGGCCTCCCAGTAGTACGAGTCCCATTTGGCCAGGACCAGCGCAGTTCCTGCCTCCCAGGGACAACCCCAGGGGATCCCACCAAGCTGGGTCCTTTCCCACTCCTCTGGGGGGTCCCCTGCACCACTGCCCTCAGCCCTGGAGCTGCTCTTATGGGGGGCCCCAAGCAGGCAGCAGCAGGACCACACCAGCACAGCTGCAGAGGGGAAGAGACACTGCAGAGGAGTTAAAAAAAAAAGTTTTTTAAATTGAGATTATGCTAAAATTAACCAGGAAAAACAGAGACTGTCATGCCAGCTGTGACACGGCAGCGAGGAGCAAAAGCCTTCTGCCCATAAAAGCAGCCTATAGCAATGGGCACGTACCCCCATGGTCATCACCTCAGGGCATGGATCACCCCCAAGGCTGGGGCCATACAGAGGCTATACAGACCCTGTATGTACTGCCACGACCACGCTGCTCCATGATTTCCGTGCTATAAATGCTGAGGAAGAGGCTTTGCTCAGCCCCAAGGTGAGTGTTCAGCTCGGCAGGGCTCTCTGGCACTGCCAGGACACGGCTCCGGCCGGCTCTGCCGACCCAGCCTCCACCGGCACCCTCGGGGTGCTGACATGGCATCCAGCACAGCCCGGCCAGAGGCCGTGGTCAGCACTGGCAACTTCTGCCCGGAGCTGGGAGCAGGGTGGGGAAGGACTCGGCATATCCCTTCATTTTTTCCATTAAATACCTCTGGTTTCTGGCAACGCCAGCCTGTACTGCTGGGCCTGGCGGCCAGGGCTGGCTGCATTCACCACAGCACCCGCCTCCGGCCGGCTCTGCCGCCCCAGCCTCCACCGGCACCCTCGGGATGCTGACATGGCATCCAGCACAGCCCGGCCAGAGGCCGTGGTCAGCACTGGCAACTTCTGCCCGGAGCTGGGAGCAGGGTGGGGAAGGACTCGGCATATCCCTTCATTTTTTCCATTAAATACCTCTGGTTTCTGGCAACGCCAGCCTGTACTGCTGGGCCTGGCGGCCAGGGCTGGCTGCATTCACCATGCCCTTCCCTGGTGGGAAGAGAAACTGAGGCACACAGCATGAGAGGACCCTGCTGATTAAGTGTCCCCATGGTGAGGTGCAGGACAGTTGTCCCTCAGCATCCTGCTCTGCCCTGAGCAACTCCCCTGGGACCTCCTGCCCATTCCCAGCATGGTGGCAGTCAGTGGCAGGGGCGACAGGAATTAGTTGTCCCCCAAACCCCATTTCCCTGTCTGTCTATGCCTAATGAAGGGGCCGCATCACTGGCAGGGAAGCTGCCTGCTTCCCCCTGCAGTGCCTTTTCTGCCAGCTCCCACCTAACCAAGGGTGAGGAGGATCCTTCCCAGAGCCTCCCCCCCTCTCCACAAACACAAGAGAGAGGAAAAGTTTCCAATCCCCGGAAAACCCCGGCTGCCGCCCATTCAGCCCCAAAACAATCCCTGGGCAGGGTGCCAGCTGCCTGCTTCCACCCTCCTGCCCAAAGCAGGCAGGAGGCAGGCAGAACCAGGAGGGCTTTGCATCCTTCAGACCCCCAATGCCAGCCAGGCATCAGGAGGGAAAGAGAGAAGCCCCCCACCTTGGAGTGACCCCACCGATGGGCTTCCTCCTGCCCTGCCCGCTCCCTGCCTGCACTGCCTGCCCTTCCTGCCTGCTGGGACCAGGCAGTGCTCATTCCCAGAGCAGCATCTGACAAAAATAGGAGGGGAGTGCTCACTCAGGCTGATTTTCTCCCTTTTTTGTTAAAAATAAGCTTAAAAATTGAAAACAAACAAGCAGCTGCCTGGCTCCATAATGTCCCTTTAATCCCTCAGAAAGAAATTTATTCAGCCAACATATACTTTGCAGCCCATGATTTAAGCTGCTTTCTGGCCAACATGTATTTCATGCAATGTATGCAATATATCTCTGGCCAGCAAACATTTAATTCTATATATTTAAGGAGCTGGTCATAGGTTCTGGGTCCATCTCACCCCGCATCACCAGAAAACCATTTTTCATCTTGTCACACAGCACCACTCTGGTTTATGCCTTCAAATATCCAGGCATGAATGGAAGCAATGCACAGCTGGAAAACACTCCTTATTACAGGGGAGAAGCTGGAATTGAATTCATCAGTGGGTCCGGGGCCATTCCCATCCCCAGTCACTGTGCCGGCAAGTTTTCCTGGCCCAGCAAACAGCAGCTATTATTTGTGCCTGGATTTAGTGAAGGTTTTTCCTGCCAGACAAACCTGCCTGTTCCCTTCTTTGCAGGATGGCTGGGCAAAGGGATGGTTGCAGATCCCACCCCACCTGAGCACCCACAAGGTCCCTATCATCAAACGGGACTTTCAAAGGGGTGCATTAAAAGTAGAGTTACCCTAAAAGCTCAAAAATAATAAATATTATAAAGAGATTCCCCTCAACATTTTCCTTCCTACCCAAAATAGATGGAAAATCGCTGTAAAAATAACTGTGTTTTTTTTAAACCCCACAGTGACACAGGGTGTTTTTCCCAGGGGCCATCCCATTCCAGCACAGGGCTGGCTGCTTCCCAGGAGCCTGGGCATTGGCAGCTGGAAGGATGCTGTGTCCCAGGCAGCATCCTAAAAAACTGGGGTGCACCAGGGAGGTGCAGACCTCTCCCCATCCAAGGCAGTCAATGGAGATGCAGCTCAGCCCAGCAATAAACACACACACAAAAAAAATTATATATATATATATACATTGACAGCAGGGAAGGACATTTGGAGCTCACGGGGGTGGATGGGATGGGCTGGGAACACTTTCCTGAGGGCAGCACAGCAAACACACCCCCAGTGCTGACAAGGGCCGCTGGTGTTGGCAAGCTGGACAAAACTATCCTTGTGCCAGGCTTTTTCCAGGAATCCGGGAACTTTGCTGCTCTGTTTCTGGTCCTGCTGTATGAGCCCCTCACCTCTTTACCCTCCTGGCACCAGCCAACTCCGTGCCCTCACTCCTGGCACTAGGGTGCCTGGGCAAGAGCCCCACAGCGAGCTGTCCCCTCTGTCTGGACACCTTTGGGGTCACCAGCAACAATTTTGAGGGTCAGCCCTACAAAAGGGAGATCCTGAAAAGCATCACCCACTGCACCCCCCAGATGCTACAGGTGTGGAGTCACCACGATGCTCCCCATATTCCCCTCCCCAAACACCCAAGCACCTCCAGCGCAGCCCGTGCCACAGAGCTGCTCCCAGCAGTGCCATGTCCCCTTGCCCGAGTGCTACCATCCCCTCCATCCCACCCTGAAGGGCTGGGGGCTCACCCACCAGCACAGATGGGGTGCTGCCAGCAACCTGCTCCCCTCCCCAGGTTTTCCATCAGTGAGGATGGAGGATTACTCAGCTCCCCCAGCCCTGTGATTCAGCCAGCCTCCAGCCCGGAAACCCGCCCTGCAGCCCGGCACGGAGCAGGAAACCCGGCTGCGGCAGCAGTGCCCGGGCGCACCGTGATCCTGGCACCCATAGCACCTCAGCCACGGGAGACCTTCTCTAAGGGTGTGTATATATATATCTGCTCTTTAATATCTATACACATCAATTTATATACTGCTCCAGAAAAAAGATAGATAGATAGATAGATAGATAGATAGATAGATAGATAGATAGATAGATAGATATGTTAAAAAAATATATATATAACATACACAATTAAGCCTGATGCCTCTCTGGGCAAAGCCTAAATTGCCATTATGGAACTGAAGGCTGCTGCCTGCACCTGGGATGTCACCACCAGGGACATCAGGGTGACCTGTTGCAGGGCTTGGGTGCTGGGCTCCTTCCCCCTTACCCCATCCTGACCCCAGGGGGTTGAATGTGAGGTCCCCCCAGACCTAACAGCACTGATGCCTTCCCTGCTCCCCCCAACCATAACACCTCTTGGGCCATGGCCACCACTGGGGCCCCACCGGTGTCACCACCGAAAGGTCCCCTCCCATCCCCCTGGGTGGGGGCAGGAGAAGGGACAAAAGCAAAACCCCAAGACAGGACAAAGCACAGCAAAGGCAGCCACTCGCACACGAGCCCAGGGCAGTGCCGGGACACGCAGCCTTCGAAAGTCACAGCTGGTCCCTCCCTTCCTCTATTTTTATGCAACCTCAAAAAAAAAAAAAAAAAAAAGTACCAAGCTGCAGAGCCCTGCCCTGGCTGCCCTCGCCACAGCCACAGGGGCAGCA